TAGGGTGGGGGGGAGGAGGATCAGGCTCAAAGTGTGCCAGGGGTGGGGGGCGGGGGAAGGCGCTGGCCTGTGCCAGCAGCGATCTGCGGCTGATGTATGGCATGTGGAGCTGGAAAGCTGCCATCATAGCCCAGGAGCGGCAGGAAAAACGGAGAAGTCCGGGTGGTGCTGGCCCGAGGCTCGGTGAGTCAGGAGGGACACTCGGAGGCCTTGCGCGCTCTGCTCCGAGGGGCCTGCCTCGCGCAGGCTGGCCGGGGTCTGCAGGAGCAGCCGGGCAGACTCCCAGGTGGTGAAGGCCTCCGCTGACAAGTTCGCCCAGGGAATGATGGCCCCCCGCCCCCTCCTTCCTCTCCTGGGCTCCGGGTTCTGCTCATCCACACCGCTGGCGCAGGCAGAGTTGGACTTTTTTCTGCTACTGTTTTCTGTCCTCCATGTGGCGCGGGGTGTTTTCTCCATTGCGATTGCCTGTCTCTGCTAAGCGGGTTAGCCCAGCCTTCTCTTACCCTCCAGGAACCGGGGAGCAGACCAGACACCTCTTTTGGCCGTCTCTGGGAGATTTGACTAGGTCTGTTGGTTGTGATGACAATGAAATAGAGTAACTTACTTCTGCTGAATGCCGTTTAAGTTCAGGCTCTGACATCTTACTGGCAGGATGTGTTGACTGCATCTCTCCTCTTCAGGATGTTGGGCACCTGCACAGGAATGCAGGTGATCAACACTGAAGTCTGTAGATCTCTGTAGCAGGGAGTGGAGGTCTCCCACGGCCGGAGTAAAAGAAATACCAGTTTGAGAGCTTTTGTTTCTCCTCCCTGAACCCAGGACTTACTTCTCATGAGATATTTCAAACCCAGTCGTCCCCATACTGGAGTATTTGGCGCTGGCTGGTCTTGTGCTTATTCCTGTTGGGGTTTCTTTCCTTTTGTCCCGGCTAAGGCTGAATGTGGTGCTTGCTGTGTGACTCTGGGCTGGGTAATGACTGAATTATGATAGATGTCCTGGACGTCGCTGAAGTTGGCATGTTTACCAGTTTACCAATCGGTTCTAGATAGGCTTTGGGAAGCAAAGAATGTGGAACAGCTCATAGGAAGTTTTGCTGCCCTCACCTTTTTGGATCAGTGCCTTTGACTTTTGGAAACTTTCCTCCTCTTTGGCCCTCCCCCACCCCTGTCTTTCAAGAGACAAGTTTTAATTTAGCAGTGGTAGTGTATCCAGGCATCATGTTAAACCGTGGCCACTTTAATCAGAAGAATCTTGAGGTATCTTAATGAGGAGGGAAAAACTTTGGTGGTAACGGTGATTTATCTCTCTGACATTGTTCTGAGGAATATTGTTGACTGCTCTTTAATGTTGGTTTTATGCTCTTCACTGTTTTATGATGACAAGTCGAGACCAGTTAAGAATTTCTAATTCTTTATTCTGTTAAGTATTTTATCTGAGATCCCGTGGGGAGCTGTGGAACTGTATTGTGCTGTGGGAAATAGATAGTAAAAACATTTATTGAACCTTGTCCAAGGACAGCTTCTGTTTTGCTTTCGGTGAGCTGCTCCTGAATATGCACAGTGCACATCACCACATAATCCCTAGTCTGGTCCACTGAGACCCAATGGTCTTTGTCAGATAATCCCCTGTCTTCCTCCTTCTACTTTCCCACTTCCCTCCTTCGCAAAACAAACCTTGTTTGTTTTGGTGAGAGTTTAGGAGTTGAATAGTTGAATGTGGAGATCATGAGAGATGTGGAGGTCAGAACTATTGTCTGCTTTCAGGTTACGATCACTTCATTTTATTGAAGTAACATGTGTGGGTCCAGTTCTCAGAGAGTGCCACAATCCCGGCTAAAGAGAAGGCCCTCACATACTGCAAATTGTCAAGAAGCAGGAACAAGTATGGAAGTAAACACTTCAGAATGCAATTTGGCTTTGAGTTGATAGCATCTAGATCTCTGTCAGTTTGGGGGGGGGGACTTTATATAAGGGGATTCGAAATTAAAGGACATATTTGTGAGAGGAAACTTGTGGAACTGGTGATTATATGCCAGAAGAGCATAAACTGCATTTTCTTATTTTCTACTATGGGGTTAAGGAAAACATGCAGTGCTGATGGTATATTAAATCAGGAAACAAAATCATCCTAACTAACCACAACACCTTCCTTGTGCTCAGCAGGAAATAACTAACAAATTCATTTTCTGTTTGCTATCTCTAAAGAAAGCCCTCTGGGCCACGGGGTCATTGGGAACATTTTCTCCTTGGAGCAGATTTACCCATTGCAAAATAGGGAAACTGGCACTCAGAAACTGTCATCATGCGCGTTACATTGAGCAATTGTGGTTCAATTGTTACTTTGTTTAGCCAGTTTCAGCTCCCAATGTGTCTGGATTCAGAGAGTGGTGGTTCCTAGGGAGATCATCTAGAAAGGCGTGTTAGCCGTGGGTTAGGGCTTTGGGACGATGTATCATATGGAGGGATATTGAGATTAAAAGCTAGCACATGCCTCAGTAGCATCAGTGAGGGGTCCTACTGGACCCTTTCTAGAAGGCCCTCATGAATGGCTAATTTCACTGCAACTGTAAAATATTGATTTGAAGCCTGTGAATTCTGGCTGAATATCTGAGGGGTATTTTTATAGATCTCATGTGTATCATTCATCCAAAATTACTACCTCTGGTGGTAAAGAGTTGAGTAAAATCTTTGCATTTCTAAGAAGCTTGCATACAGGGAGGTGTTTTCTGTGCCTTCTGTGGAAAGGAGAGGAAAAAGAGAAAGGAGTCTTAGGGATTAGCAACTCTGTACAATGCTATAAAAGCATCCTGTTCTGCAAATAGTCCTGCATTTTTAATGATGGTTGCATATATTTTGGTATAATCACACCCTATCTTGTTGCTTTCCTATATATATGGTTTTAAGCTGTTTCCTTGTTACATAGACAGAGCAAATAGCGTAAAAAAAAAAAAAATCATTCTTCCTTTGGGACTTTCTGATTTGCAGTTTTCTTCCAACGTATAGTGGTCTTTGTTGTAAAGATGGAAAAGGTATATCCCTGGAGTGGGTTGGGGTGGGGGAGACTTTACATCCTTTAGGATAGTTTTTAATTAATTTGACAACCAGATTCACATATTAGAGGAAGGTGGTTCACAAAATTCAGCATAGCAAAAGCGACTGCATATTTTTAAAATGCTGTTTATTTAAAGAATCTTTTCTTCCCCAGCCAGCTGGAAACCCAGCTGTGCTGCAGCTTGAAGATGGGAAAGTGAAACCAGTCTAGAAACTGACCATTCCTAGTGATGAGGACAAGGCTTGGTTATAGAGTTAAGGGGCGTAATTACCATCATAATGTCATTAGTTCTTTTGGTGGCTGCTTTCCTCAGCAGATTGCAGTTCTTGGGGGCGGGAGCCATATCTTATCTTTGAGGTCTTTTTCCTACCTCTCCAGGCCCCCCCCCTCCCCCCGATGCTGGTACTGTGCCCGGTGTATGCAGGGACTCTCCGATGTGTCTTTTAAACGGATGAAGTCAAGTGAAGTTAAAAAAGCAAGCCTCCGGATTAATACTAAAACAATCTTAACTCTCCGATCTGTGACACCAAGTCTTGTTCTGAAAAGCTGAGTTTGATGATAGCCTTTACCTGTAGCTATGGGAACCTTTTTTCCAAAGGAGTCGTTATCAACTAGAGTACTTAACCACAATGTGCTTAATCATTGTGCTGATTAGTGTTAATGGGATTTGAGCAGCGGAGAATAAAAGGTCTTGCTGGAGAGGACCGTCTTTTTTTTTTTTTTTTTTTTTTGAGAGTAGATTACCACTCCCTCAACCTCAAAACAAAAATAAACAAAAATAAAACAATTATCCGTTTGAATTAACAAATATTTTGGGAGCTAGAGAGGGTGGTATATTAACTAACTAGGTGACTAACCTCTTGGTCCCAATCCTCTTTTCCATCTTTTATCATCTAGGACATTTTCATTTTATTTCCTAATAGCAAATGCATCGTTAGGGTTTTTTTTTTTTTCCTTTATAAAATTGTATTTACTTTTTTGAATGTGTAATATATTTATATGCCTCAATCCGGAAAGTGCATATGAATATATGGTCAAAAGTCTCCCTCTTACCCCTGTCATCAGCTACCTATCCCTAAGGCAATTGAAAAATAACATATTCTTGAAATGTGTATTTCTCTAAGAGCAAAAGGTTTGTCAAAGCAGTCTTATGTTTTTCTCTTAACAGATGGAGAATGTTAATTTTGCCGTTAAGTCAATTTCATGGTAAATTCTTCCCAAGTTATATATATATATTTGACCTAACCCAAGTTCTTAATCACTACCCTACCTCACAAATATAACCCTACGGTCAGGAATGAAAATACCAAGTTGTTTTTCAGATACTTTGCCATTAAGAAGTTTTCTGACAGTGAATTTTGTGAGGAGTCTTCATTGGGATGCTCAAAGGAGAGATGCAAGGATCTGTCCCTGAGCTTTAGGGCAGCAGATCTGCCGGTTCCACAATCCCTACTGTTTCACCCTCTCGATAGCCTCACAACAGAATCCATGTGGAAAATCACATGATTCCATATGTGCAAAGAGAAAACCCCACAGTGCGTGATTGCTTTGATTTTCATTTAGAAGTCGAGCCAAAGACTCCAGTTGCTGATGAAGAGTTTGATTTTGACCGTATTCTTATACAGCTGGTACAATTCTAGGGGGAATTATCCACTTGCATACTACTTTGAAGTACGTTTAAGGTAACCGATTTGAACACAGTGTTAAAATTTCAGAGTGTCAGGGAATTGCCACTTGAAT